TTAAAAATGAAATCTGTAACACTCTGCATAACTTCTTGGATGCAGGAAAGTGATGATATGCTAATAGCTTTGCCACTAAAACTTTCAATATCTGAAGTTCTGTAAAACAACCTTCCCAGTAAGGACTTCATCTTGGATGAACTGAAGATCTTGCCACCTCCCTGTCTTGTGTCTGAGGGCAAAGATGAGACATCCTCGTGCCTAAGTTTTAGAGGGAACCAGCACACTGGCTCAGCCAGTGTGTGACAGGAGCTGACTTGCTCACCATGAGAATGCCTACGCTCCTGTGTTGATCTAGGCCTGGTTTCTTGGTCCTAGTTAGAGTAATTACACACCAGAATCTGAGATGATATAAAAAGGAACTGTTCTTGTCACTGAATTGCACTTGTGCATTGTTGCTGTAGAGTGGTGGTCCACGGTATGGCTGAGTGTTGCACAATAAGTTTTAAAATGCACATATTTTGTCATATTGATACTCTAGTCTAGTGTATAAGGAGTGTGAAAAAAAAATTAGTTTTAAATCTTCGGCAGAAGTTGAAATGCTTTGGGTAGAGGAAGAGTTAAAATTTTGCTTTTCATGAAGTCTACAATTTTTGGTAGTAACTTCAGTTTTCAATATTCTGTTAAAATGTACAGTATTCCAGATATCCAGATGAGTGGTAGTCAAATGCTATTGGTTTAAACTGTTATCTACCTGTTTTTTCACAGTGAAAAAAAGCCCAGCGTTTTTAGATGTGAACACAGGACCCTTCATCAGGACCAGCAGCTTTGCCGATGAGCTTGACCTGGAGGGTGAGACACTGCTGACCCCAATAACTCACATCTCACAGTAAGTCAAGGCTGTTGAATTGTGCATTAGTTGACTTAGACAAGAGAAGCCAGTTCAGGTGGGAGGAGCTGAAATACGGAGCTGATAGGGCTATCTCAGATATTTGCGTCAAACTCTTTTTACCTTGAAGTTGGAGTGTATTCTGTTCTGAGTGCCAGTAATCTTCATGCTGACCTAAAGAAAAGTTCACTTGGTTCTGACACAAGGCTTTAGTTTTCAGCTGATGTCTCTGGGCAGGTGGTGGCTAATACCCTCAAGATTTTTCCACAGAGACAATGTGTGGGAGTTCTTGCCTGGTGAGAGTTATATTACTCCCTCCACAGTTTTCTAGTGAAATAGGTGTAAAGTGCAAATTTTAAATACTACTTGTATGAAACATGATTTCAGTAGCACCTTCTCTAATGGTCAGATGATGTTCTACATTGGAAGAAAAACTCTGTTTCATCATTATTACTGCTTTATTGTATATCATAGAATCATAGAATAGATTGGGTTGGAAAAGACCTCCGAGATCATCAAGTCCAACCCCTGATCCAACTCCAATTACTATATCATGGCACTAAGGACTGGGCCCAGCACTGATCCCTGGGGAACACCACTGGTGACCGGCTGCCAGCTGGATGCAGCCCCGTTCACCAGCACTCTCTGGGCCCGGCCCTCCAGCCAGTTCCTGACCCAGCACAGAGTGCCCCTGTCCAAGCCATGGGCTGCAGCTTTTCCAGGAGTATATTATGGGAGACAGTGTCAAAGG